TCTGCTGCCATGCTCTAGATTTCTCCAGTCCCTTAGACACTGTAGACTGTTTGTGTTCCTGACATTGTATTGTAATGTCTTCTCTGGCTCCGGCCCTCTTTATCCTGTCCTCTGCCGTCTGTCTATTGTTTCCCCTGCACTTTGATCACAGGCATTAATCAGAGTCCAGCCTTAGGCTCTCTCCAGGTGCCTTTGCATGAATCCTTTCCAGGTCTTTATCCACTCACACAGTCTCAATTATTGCCTTACTAATAATCTGCGTCTTTGGTACTGATCATGACTTTCAGTAAACCTTCATTGATTTAGTCTCATATGCCCAGTAAACTTTAACATTGTGGACTCTCTCCAGTTTTACTCAAGACAGTCTGAAGAATACCACTACTTGGTATTTAATAATCCTTTAGACTATGTTGTGACTTCAAGCTGGGGTTATAACTCGGTGGTAGAGTTCTTGTCTACCTTGTGCAGACCCTTGGGTTCAACCTATAGCATGGCAGGAAGCAAAAGCAGCACCTCAGTTGGACTTTGGTTTGGAAATATTTTCTAGCACTTTGATAATTTTTTAAAATTAATTTTTAGCATTACAATTACAAATCCATTATTCCATCAAAATTGATCCTGTTCATGTGCTGAGTCATCCAATTTAGTGATCATATTGTTTAGTCTTAGTTTTACTTTGTCTGTTACTGAGGGTGTCATCAGTCTCTTGTTCTTTAACACAACTTAAAAAACTTTTCCACGTTATGAACCTGTGCTTATTGGTCTTTCTTTTAGCTCTGAATCCCACAGGGTCCTTATTTTTCTTAATGTTTGAATGCCATTTATGTTGAATATTTCCAAATTTTATCTTCACTTTAGAACTTTTCCTTAGAGTCCAGATTCATCGATATGATTGCCCACGTGACATATCTACTTCACTTTGCAGAGCAGAGCTGCAGGGTCCCTTTGCAGTGGTTAGTATTCTTCTCGAGCTCTGGGGGTGACTGACCAGGTCTTGGATTTCAGAGGCTGCCCTTAGATAATCTCATCTTTATTTTTGAAACTCATGTAGAATTCAGGGACTTCTTGTTTCTTCTACTATGATACCCAAGTTAAGGCACTGTCTGTCCCTTACTGAGGCTGATGTCATAGCTGGGCTGTTGGAGCCCCCTTGCTTCTGCTGCCCTTCCCCTTCAGTCTGCCCTGAACGTAGGAGATGATCTTCCACGATGTGATTTAGATGATGTCCCTTTCTGCTAACAGTGGCTGTCCATTTCTCTTAGGATCGAAGTGGAGTCTTTAAACTGACTTTAAGGGAGCCCTGCAGAATCAGGTTGTCTTCCTCTTGACTTTCCTTCTGTACTCCTGCAGCTCTGGCCACATAGGTCTTCTTAGTTACTCGAGCATGTCTCCGGGCCTCAGGGTTTGGTATTCTGTGTACCTCAGATGCACTCTCCCCTATTCCTGCATGGTTTGGTTCCTCACTTTTTTCAGGTCTTTACAAAACTGTCCTTTTCTCAGTGACGCCTTCCTAGCCACCTTATATAGGCTACTGCCTGGTACTTCTGAACCCGTTCCTATTTTTTACAGGTATTTTTTTTAACACACTAAGTATTCTACATACATGTCTTACTGTTTGTCTTCTCTACTATGTTTGTTTTTACAGTATCCTTTCATAAAAGACATTCCATAAGTAATTTCTGAGTTGATAGATTTTTATCATCTATCCTAATTTTTAAAATTTCTTCTAAGCTGCTGCTGCTGGTGGTGGTGGTGGTGCACATCTTTAATCCCCTTGGGAGGCAGAGGCAGGTGGATCTCTGTGAGTTCCAGGACAGCCTAGTCTACAGAGTGAGTTTCAGGACAGCCAGAGCTACACAGAGAAACCCAATCTAGAAAAACAAATCAAAGAAATGAATGTGAAATATATCCTAGATGTGTTCCTTTCTCTCTTGGTCTCTTACCCCTCAATTAGAAGCAGCTTCCTAGTCACACCTTGCTCCCTCAGTTTCACTACACCCTGGCTGAGCTGTCAATCATGAGTATAGTTTGTGATGCTTGCTTCTTATGCAGTCTAGAAACGATATTGTCTAGGGGTCTTGATGGTGTTCATTTTCTCTGCTGGCTAAAGAATTAAAAAAAAGCAGGAAGAAATCTGAAGCAGAACAAGTAGCAACAGAGGGATCTCATGCCCTACAGACAGAATCAGCAGTTAAAAATGGTGTTTCGTTGGCGGTGGTGGCACATGCCTTTAATCCCAACACTCAGGAGGCAGAGGCAGGCAGATCTCTGAATTTGAGGCCAGCTTGGTCTACAGAGTGAATTCCAGGACAGCCAAGGCTACACAGAGAAACCCTGTCTCAAAAAAGCAAAAGAAAAAAGAAATCTGTCTTCATTGGGAAGAAGGAAACACACACATGCAGACATACATAGAAAAAGACCCTCTGCAAAGCAGAAGGGAACTCAGAAAGCCAGAAAATCCAGTTTCTTCTTGAAGAGTCTTCCTCCCTGCTGTAGGGTTTGTCAGTTTGAAGACAGAAAGGATGGTTGATTGGCCTAAAACTGTTGTGTGACAGGTCCTGACCAGACCTTGAACTTGCTGAGCCAGCCTGTCCTCAGGGGCCCACTGGGAGGATATAGAAGCTGCTAGGCTTTTGTCTCAGGTTGAGGAAGAAGCTGACCACCTGAAAATTGGCCACCTTTATTACCTAGCCATGACCTTCCTCCCTCTCTTTTGCCTACCAGGGACTCTAACTCCTGATCTCTAACTTCCTATGTAAGAATTAACTTAAATACTTCTCAGCATCACATCAGAGAAATATGCACCACCCTGCAGTAAGAAACCAGACTAGAAGGAGGAGGAGAATAGGAAACTCATATCCTGTTGAGACTGTAGGTTAGTATATTCATTATGGAAAACAGCATAGCGATTCCTCAAAAACAGCAGAATCAAAACAAACAAAACACACCAAGCTTAGAAATAGAGCTGCTCCATGATCCAGCAGTCTCCATGGAGCTGATTCTGAAGAGACATCTACAGTCACACGCTAACAGCAGTGTTCATGGGGGCAAGATCTGGAATCAGCCCAGGTATCCATCAGTGGATGAATAACTAAAGAAAGTATGAATAACAATGGGAATTGTTTCATATGCAGCAACAGGGGTGGAGCTGGTGGACACTGTGTTAAGTGAAATAAATCAGGCGTAGAGGGAAAAGCTCTGCATGCCTCGCATGTATCAGGAAGCTAATAATTTGATCTTGAGAAATGTAGAGAGTAGAGTAGTAGTTGCCAGATTCTGAAAAGGGTGTTGGGCAAGAGAGAATAGGGAGAAGATATTTAATGGGGTTCACTGGGTTGGAGGAATGATGTATATGTTCTATGTAATAAAGCAGAATAACTGTAGGTAACAAAAGTTAAGTTAGTATTTCAAACAAACAGAAAGCATTTTGAACATTCCCAGCACAAAGAAATGAGTGCATGCCTGTTACCCTGATTTTAATCATTGTGCATTGTGTACATATGAAATGTCACTGCCTTCGGAAATATGTGCAGGTGCTGTGGCCAGTTTAAAGTAAACGTTTAAAAAAGAATTGGCATAACTTTTTTAGTTTTTGTTATGTCAATATTATGTCTTTATTGGTTTATATAATACTAAGCCATCTCTCTGCCCCCCATAGTTCTAGTACAGCCACTATTTGCTACAAGCTCGGTAATAATGCATGCCACCGCCTAAATGCGCTCACTTGTCTCCAATTTCTGCAGCGCCTGTCAGTTCTCAGTAGTAAACTATTCAGTTCTCATCTATCAAAACTAAAACTTCATTAGAAAATCTTCTATGATCTAGTTGGATAATTTTTATTCCATTCATTTTTGTTTAATGTTACATTTCTCTTGGAAGTCAGTGTACAGTATTATGTATAGATATATATTGACACATTTTACCTTAGAAATATATCGGGACATTTCATCTGTGTTTTAATAAATAAAGCTTGCATGAAGATCAGAGAGTAAAACAGCCGCACTGGTCAGCCTTACAGACCAGGCAGCAATGATCCATACCTTTAATCTCAGTAGCCACACTAGTTTGCCATAGAAACTGGGAGGTAGTGGTGCACACCTTTAATCCCAGCACTAGAGAGGAATATAAGGCGGGAGGAGACAGCTCTCACACAGTCTCATTCTGAGATTCCTGGAGGCAGGATCACCATTTCAGACTGAGGTAGAGATAAGAGCCAGTGGCCGACTGTTTTATTCTCTGAACTTCAGGCAAACTTTATTTATTAAAATACAAATGAAATATCACTACAGAAATATATTCTTGTGGTTAATATTGTATTAGGGTTAATAAGAGAATATACTGCACATTCCATAGTTGTTAACATTTTAAGTGAAGTAATCTTATGGGTATTATGGCTATAGACTCATATTGAGCTACCACTAACTGTTGTTTTTTTACTCATTTACTCTTTGGCTCTTTGGGCTCCTTGGGGGCTTGCCACCCAACTCCCAAATGAAGCACACATAGTCTTATAGTCTTATTTTCTCTTATGAATACCTGCCCTTAACTTCACTTGTTTCTTGCCAGATTTTCTTAAATTATCCCACCTATGTTTTACCTCTGGGCTTTTACCTTTCTCTGTTTCTGTATATCTTTTCTTTCCTTCTTATTCCATGTCTGGCTGTGTGTCCGAGTGGCTGGCCCTTTCTTTTCTCACTCCTTGAACCTCTCTTGCATCCTGATCCCTCTTTTTCTCCTATTTTTTCTTCCTGCCTGCCAACCCTGCCTATCCTTTTTCCTGCTTTGCTATTGACTGTTCAGCTCTTTATTAGACCAATCAGACAGGCAGAGTAACACGGCTTCACAGAGTTAAACAAATGCAACATAAAAGAATGCAACACATCTCTGCATTTTAAACAAATTTTAAATATTTTAAGCAAATGTTCCACAGCATAAACAAATGTAACATGCCTGAAAAATAACATTCCACAACAACTAATGCTTGTGTTCTCTTTTTATAGGTATCATTGCCCAATGCCGAAGATTTTTTATGTTCAGTTGACAGTAGGAAATAATGAATTCTTTGGTGAAGGGAAGACTCGACAAGCTGCCAGACATAATGCTGCAATGAAAGCCCTTCAAGCACTGCAGAATGAACCTATTCCAGAAAAGTCTCCCCAGGTGCGGCTCTGCCGAATGTGACAGTCTCTTTCCTGTGCTCTCCCCTGGAGGTCACTGAGCAGACAAATACACTAATTGTATAATAAAAGAAATAATTTGTTAAGCTAGGGAAGGATCATGATAGTTTGCTTTCACATGTCCATTACTGCACTAAACTCATGCATTCCTTCTGGAAAGACCTCTGTTCACCAGTGGAAGTCACTTGCGAGGCAGCATGAGATTTAGGCACTGGTGTATGAGGATGGAAGGTAACATTCATTTGTCTTACATTTAATGCAACCTTGTATTGGACAAAGATTACATTGTGTTCACCTGAGATCAAGGAATGTAGGCCAAGGCCACAACAGATTTTAGTAGTTCAGAAAGTTTATTGCAGGGCCTTGTGCTTTAAAGACAAGTGCTCTTCCAGGTGAGCCCCAGTCCCAGCCTGTGGTCAAGGGATGTAAGGAGGAGGAGATTGAGAATTTGGAGTCTTACTTTAGTTTGCAAATGAGAATGCTAAGGCTATTCTTGGGCAATTTTACCCATTCTTAAATTTTCATCTGCCTCCTCCGTTGACTTTAATATCTCTAGTTCAGGCATTTCCAACAGAATAGCCAGCCTCTTATTCTTTTCTGCTGAGTTATTCAAACCTTACAGTTCAGCCCCCTAGATTATCTTTTCTCCAAACATGGTAGTCTTTCTTTGAAATTTGTTATCATCGTGGGCATACATGTTTCTCTGCTGGTGCAACTGTTCATGGTAACTGTTAACCATTTCTAATTAGATCCTAAGCTTCTTTTTTTTCTAATAATTTTTTTATTACTCAATAAATAATACCATTCAAAATTTCTACTTCCTCCCCTCCGGCTCCCCCACTCACCCTTACCCCCTCCCGCTCCAGTCCTAAGAGAGGGCAGAGAATCCTGCCCTATGGGAAGTCTAAGGCCCTCCCACCTCCATCCAGGCTTAGGAAGGTATAGATCCTAAGCTTCTTTTTTTCCCTTTAAAGATTTATTTATTTATTATGTATACAGTATTCTGCCTTCATGTATGCCTACAGGCCAGAAGATGGTACCAGATTTCATTACAGATGGTTGTGAGCCACCTTGTGGTTGCTGGGAATTGAACTCAGAACCTCTGAAAGAGCAATCTGTGCTCTTAACCTCAGAGCCATCTCTTGGATGTGAGGGTGATCTGACTACGACATCTGTCACCCCATTGATCGCCAGGGTTGATTTGGCAGATCTGGCTGGCTAGGCGGGTGTACCCGTCCTCTCTCGCCACTCCATCTGTGTCCCTCCCGAAGCTGCGCACTCGATCGAAGAGGACAACCTTCCCCAAATAGAGGAGGACCAGTCTTCAGTCAAGGGTATAGGAGTAGCTCTGCTCCCCTGCTAGAACCTCCAAACAAGCTCTCAAGATCCTAAGCTTTTTGATAGCAAGACTTGTCCCTTTATTCCCTCATCTCACACATACATTGTTCAGCACAGATGAGACCTTCTAGAAGTATGTATTACATAAGTGAATAAGTGAATGGTGCTAGTCCAGACAGTGCCGCTGTCTTGGTTTACATTCTGTACTCTGTCTACTTTGTACACCCATGGTCATGTTAGAGCAGTTGGGTAATGAGGCTGGTGCACAGCTCTGCAGTAAAAGAATTGGGTCTAAAGAATAGACCCAATTGGGGTCTATTCCCAAAAGTTGGGGAGAACTTTCAAACTTAGCTTTAGCTGCTTCTGCTTCAAGCAAAATAAACAAAATCCAGAAGTCTGACAGCATAGCCCTTGACTTGTGATAATTCCAGGAGAATCCACTGTGTGTATCCATGGCTGCTATTTCAGACATTTTAGGTCAACCTGCCTGATTGCAGAACAGTAGGAAAGTTATTATGATGATAAGACCCAATACTACCATATTTTTCTTTGTGTGTGCTTAGAATGGTGAATCAGGAAAAGAAATGGATGATGACAAAGATGCGAATAAATCTGAAATAAGCTTAGTGTTTGAAATTGCTCTGAAGAGGAATATGCCCGTCAGTTTTGAGGTATGTGTTCATGTACTTTTCTATGATTATTTCAGCAAGTTAAATGATGTCCTAGATTGTCTCAGGAATGCACATGCTTCTTGTGTTAAGATCCATTACCATAAAATTATTTATACCCTGGAGAAATGGAAATTATCATAATGCTATGAATATTGTGGGTCTCCTTGTCTTTTCTGTACTAGACTGTCTTTATACATGGCATTTCAGTTTTGACCTTAAAATTTGTTTTCTGATCGTAATTTCTGTTAATCTATAGATAGGATTTAGTGTTTTATTTACTTATCATTAATTATATATTAAAGTTATGAGTCATTTTAGTGTTTAGTGATGCGATGCTAACATCCAATTCCTTCTAACTGTATGGAGATCAAAACCTGTTGTAGTAGGGGCTGCGGGCAGGCCTGCTTTTCATCCTACCCAGCTCCCGCACGGCTAGCTTAGCCCCAGAAATAACAACACACAAATTGTATTCATTTAAACACTTACCGGGAAAGATTCAGCATGTCTGACCTGGTGGCTGGCTCCATGGCATCTGCCTCACTTCTCTCTTCCCAGCATTCTGTTCTGTTTACTCCGCCTATCTAATTTTCTGTCCTATCAAAGGGCCAAGGTAGTCTCTTTATTAACCAAAGAAAATAACACATAACAGAAGGCCTACCAGGCCTTAGTCAAAGTTTGTTGCTTCAACGCTGCAAACAGGACTTTGGTGATTGCCCAGGTAGCCAGTTGTCTCTGTGATTTGTTGCATGTTTTGGAAGTTCTTTGATTGCACTTCCTAATTACTCAGGTAACATTATTTCCCTTCTTGGATCTTCTATGGGGTTGAAGACTAGATAAATGTAACTACTTTCCTCTCATGATGTGGCCAAGTTTTTTATTATACAAGACTTAAGCTAGTTAGAATAGGATATTTGTACTTGTTGTATATAATTTTGTAGGTTTGTACTTACTGTATATAATTTCTTAGTAGGCTTAGAACTCTCTTACTTAAACCAAAGGGGGAGATGCTGCAGGAGTACCTTCCGTTCCTTCAGCCAATAGTCGCTGAAGTACGAGCCCACAATGCTGCGGGAGTGCCTTCCGCTCCTTCAGCCAATAACCGCTGAAATACCAGCCCACTGGGGCGTGGTATATTTCTCTTTAAAAAAAGAGTAGCAAGCCTCGGGTCGGCCCCTTGGTTCCTGTGCTTAGTTCTGGCTCCTACTAGGCTCCTTTCCTGACGGTTTGTGTGTATGTAAGTTTTACCCCCCAAAAATAAATATCCCTTTAAAACCTAACTGGTGTGGGATTGATTCGCCCTTATCTGGTGCCCTTCAGCGACTATTGGCTGAAGGAGCGGAAGGTACTCCTGCAGCAACCTTTTTGAGGGAGACACTGGCAATCATACCTAGGACCTTGCCAAATATTAAGTATGTGCTCTAGGGCATAGTTCCAAAAAGTCTTAACATTAACTGATTTTAAAAAAAGATATAGATTTCTGTAACTAAATATGCACAAACTAAATATTTATAAGGCTGTTTAAAACTTTTAAAAAGAGAAAACCTTAAAATTAATTTTATAATGTCTTCCATATTAAGAAATCACTAACTTAGAGGTTCATATGGGAAAAAAGTAGGCAAGAATGAGGAAATAAGCTCAAATTGTGGAGTGACTTCTCCTTCAAGTTTTGTCGCATTTATCTTCTGGGGAACTCCTGCATTGCACTCATTGGAAGGAACACTGGGCTGAGAAACAGCTTTTTTCTGGATCATAACTCTGACAAGTCATATTACCTGGCTTCTTGGCCTGGAGCAGGTGGATAGCAGCGAAATCAGGAAGTCAGGAGGGGAACGTACTTGACAGACTGATTCCAACAAGAACTGACTGGGAACACTTGTGAAGCCTACTAAAGCATCCCACACATACCTAAAACTCATTGGCGTGTGGAGTCTTTTAAAAACTAAAATAAATAGAAAGACAATTTTATGTCATAAAAGTCCTTGGTACATCTGTATGTTATGGCATAGAGTATTGATGTTCATACTGGTGATCTAATGCGACAATAAAAGGTTAAATACCCAGGATTCCCTACTGAGTCAGTAAATTGCTTTTTGAATGTGTGGTGCCTGTGTGTATACATGCACATATGTTCTCAGCCTAGAGGCTGGCACAGGGTAAATCATGCTGTGCCTTTTAGGGCAGAGTGAGGGCTGGAGCCAAAATCCAGAAATGAACCAGGGACCTTTCTATACCTTAATTTTTGGGAAAAGGTCTTTTACTGAACCTAGAGTTTGAGTGCCAGAGACCTGCCTGTTTCCAGCTCACCCAGTGTTGGTTTACAGATGTGTGCAGCGGTGCCTGGTTCTTACATGCGTGCTGGAGGTCTGAACTTAGGTCCTCATGCTTGCTCAGCAGGCAGCCTCCTAACAAAGCTATCCCCAGCCCAGTAAATCACTTTTATAATTAATAAGCATGTGCATCAGAACAGTAAAAGCGAACAGTTGGTGTTTAAATTAGTAAACTTAAGTTACTTGGGAAGCATACTTATAACTACTTCCTTTCTCTGCTAATGTTGGGTTATTAAGATGACACATTGTTTTTAATTCCTTTTCCTAGTGGTACTTCAATATTAGAATATAAAATTCCAGTTAAGCGGTAAACCAGATGCTATTTGTTCCTTAGGTCAGATTTTTAAAGGAAACTAGGATTTTTGATATTCAGTACTTGGAATCCATCTTTTCTCTACATTATGGTATAGATTAGACGTAAGAACATATTGAATAGTTCTGAAATATTCCTAGTTGAAAGTTCCATAATTCTTTACACTGAAAAATGCATATTTTATGGTTTATCAGTGTACCATCTAAGATCTAAGATTGTGTCTCCAGAATTCCCAAGAGTTTAAATTTCCTTATGAAAATAGTGAGGTCGCTAACAGGAGGTTAATTTTTATTCTTTTTATGTTTTTGAAAGTCTATCACAGGAGGATGCTTTATAGCTTAATGGTGTTTGAAATATATGTAAACATAGACTAAAATGCTATATAATCTGTTCCATTATGATCTTACAGAACCATAATCATATATGCAGTACTATAAAATAGGCCATTGTATGATGAAACTTCATCTTTCAAATGATAAGACATCAACTTTGACCTCTGGTGTCTTACCCTGATAGAGGACATTTTATATACATACATACATACATACATACATACATACATACGTATGTGTGTGGGGGGTGGTGGTGTTATTTTTACTTTAGATGGCTTATCTAGTTTAGCATCATAGCTAATATGGCATGTTCTATGTTCTTAGCTTTGTATTCTGTAAGACATGGGGAACCATAACTGTAAATTACATACTTGTTGCAATCATATTTCATTTGTATTTTAATAAATTAAGGTTACCTGAAGATCAATACGCAAAGTAGCCACAGTAGTCAGCCATACAGGCCAGACGGTGGTGGCACACACCTTTAATCTCAGCAGCCACACTAGTTAGCCATAGAGGCTGGGTGGTGGTGGTGCACACCTTTAATCTCAGCAGCCACACTAGTTAGCCATAGAGGCTGTGTGGTGGTGCACACCTTTAATCCTAGCACTAGAGAGGAATATAAGGGGGGAATGAGACAGGAACTCATGCTCTTTCAGTCTGGAGATTTTATAGAGGTGAGAGCTTTCTAGTGGCTTAACTGCTTTGCTTTTCTGATCTTCAGGTTGAACCTCAATACCTATCTCTGGGTTTTTTAATATTCATGCTACATTTGGTGCCCAGCGTTTGAGGTATGAATTCATGAAAAAGCCATTTGCCTGTGACTTTTTAGCCACCAGCACAGGCCAGAGCTGAACGTGGGGCTCCAGCCCTACCTCACTAGACTTTCTTTTCTTAGGGTTTTCCTATTGTAGCCTCTCTGAAACAGTCTCCAGCTGCCATCCAAATTCCAGAAGCACCTGGACTCCAAATGTTACAGGATTCACCAGCCCTAAACTGGCTGATTCTGCCTTTAGGCAGGTCCTCGCCACAATTGCTTTTCCAAACAATCCCTTGTGCATTCTTTAGACACCCCACCCCTCTGGACTCCACCAAGGGTTGTAGACTCTCCTTGAGTCCCCTTCTGGGCTCTGCCAAACTAGATCGCTGCCTTGAAATCCAGTCAAGCTTTTGCTGTTCTGCACAACAATAATAAGTCTCACATCTTCATCAATATCATCAGTAGATTTGCTAAGACAATTGGGAATTCTTAAAGGGAGGAATTAGTTAAAAGGAGAGTTTTTTTCCCAAATTAAAAAAAAATGGGAAAAACCATACAATGAATGGATGTGGATCTCTGTATGATAATGTGCTAGACAGTTTGAAAATGGAACAATTAAATGAGAGGATATATAATTTAGGTGGAGTTTATGTAATGTCAGTTGTAATCATCAGTTTTATCATTTTTGTCTTATCACTAAAACAGTTGGTTAATCTGAGTGCTAAGATATAGGCCTTAGAAAAACCTAGTAAGGCAGACCACAGAGATATTCAAATCCAGACAGAGGAATTTAATGGAGAACCAAATCTCAGCAATGCATTATAAAAATAGAGAGGAACAGCCTAAGGTTTTCAAATAGCCAACCTTAATATATCCAGTAACTTTACAGGAATTTCCAAATGGCAGTCTCTGTTACAGCTAACTGGATTCCTGTGCCAGTGTTAGGTTTAAATTGATTCAAGGATGCAATAGTCTAATCTGGCATGCATTCACCTTCTATGAAACAAGTGTTAAACTTGTGGTAAGTTTATAGTAGAATTATCCCTAAAGACTGAATAGAATTGCTTACAGTTGTTTTGGAAACTGCTACACAATTATAACAGAGTACCTGGTTCAAAGAAGAGTCTAAGATTTTGGAATAACAGAGTAAAGCTAGAGGTAGGGGAATCTCCCAAGATCAAATTCTTGGAGAAGGAGATTATGCTACTATAGAAAGACAAACTGTATATGATGACCACATTCTGAATTTATGCCACACAGCAGCTTTG